GTTTTTTCTGGAAAAGAAAATCATATATTAGTAAGGCCGCAAACCTAAGCCATTTTATGTTCTGTCAACAATGCAACTAGCTCAGTATGTAAGAAAAGGTCTTACCTTGTTTTAAGGATATTCAGAAACTGCAAAATTTCTGAAAACTGTATCAGCCTAAGAGCTCTTAAAAATCTTAAACCTGCATTAAAAAGAAAAGCTCTAGTAAATAATAATTTAAATGATAACAACATTTCACATAAAATGACAATGATCAATTCAATCAATATAAGAAGCATACAAAATGTCAAATACCTTTAAAATGTTCTTCCATATTTAATAGTTCCAAGATCCTTACCAGGTCTTTTTCAAATTGTTTTAAACTTATTTCCTTAATACATGAAATAGCCTACCAAAAAGCCTTAGTTTATGCAGGAAGCCATGGGAGGAGACATACAAGTTAAAAGCTATGAGGAAAAAAAATTACTGAGGTTCTGCTGGTAATTCTAGTGCATATGTCTTCCAGGCTGTCAAAGACACATAGATATCCAGAACCCCCCCAGTCCTCCAAGCACCCACATTGCTTAGTGAAAAATAAGAGATTATGGGCAACAGATCTGATAACCTGGATAAAGTAGACTGTGTATATGCCTGATTAAATTGGTAAATCTTAATGACGTAAAATCTTTTACTGTAATAATACTCCCTATCTCCACCCTAATTTAAAAAAACTCTCAAGCAGGAGAACATAGAAACGACACGTCCTCTCTTTAAAATTACAAATCTACTGTAACTCCTTCCATCAGACTATAGCTATAGGGACAGATAACACTTTGGCTACTAAAGAAGCAACTATTTTAAGAAAGAAATAGCCTTTTTGTGTTGAAATCAAGTTGTGTAATTAGCAGTTCCCAGACAACTAGAAAGCCAGCGAGACATACACAAAGAGAGTGTGTGCAACGGAAAATACTATGGAAGATTAAGGGCTTAAATTATTAAAAGAGAATTATGCTGATAATAAATAATTTGGCATCTTCTGCATATGAATAAAAGTACATTGTGTATTATACATATGCCCAGCTTATAAAATTAAAATAAGGCTTTAAGGATAATTTTTATTAGACAGTATTAGGAGTTACATAAAAAGTGTGTAACATGGTATTGCAACTGTTACAGTTAGTTCCATGACTGCTTCTTCCCATACATTCTCTTTATTGACATTTATTTTACCCAATTCCAGCACAATAAACCACTTTTTATTTCCAGAAATTTAAGGAAAGGTCCTGGCAAACATATAAACCTGGTCACAACTCTCATCACCTCAGTGGAGTCAAAAGGTCTCCCTCAAGAGCAAAGATGCGTATGGTACGAGGTATTTAAATCAAGGCTTTATTTCCACAGTAATCTTGGAAAGTTGTTAAATCAAATTTTTACTCTTACTAAGGCTCATAAGTAGCCTTATTTAGGCTTATGACTAGCCTTGACAAAGTAGAAAATCACTCCTGTCAATTACAAGGATATACATTTTCTTTTTTATTACTGACTATAGGGAACTCTGAAGATTAATTACAAATAGAAAATTTGATTTGGGTATCTTTTTGAAAAGTAATAAAATAATACTTAATTATAATCTTCAGATCCATTTGCAATTAGAGTATGATTATTTTGAATCACAGTGCTGAAACTGTGAGAGATGCGTCCCTCTGCTCCACTAGCAGTAGTTCCTTCTCCTGTTGCTTCTCCTGTCAAAACAGATGTGGATGGATAGGGATGCAAAAGACCATTAACAGCAACTCAAAACTTTCTCAGCTCTGTTCCATCCAGCTACCTGACTTAATACACTCCCTAGTAACTTTTTTAAAAAAGGCTGGTGGGAGAAAAATTCTTCCTTTCAAATGCTTTTCATTGCATCTGAAGTTAGTGAGATGGCTAAGTTATCCACCAGAATGTTTCAAAGAGAAGCCTGAGGAACATCAAAGTTAGTAATAAAACCTCTATCTCCGAAGTCACGGAACGCTTAAGAAAGACTTTATCTGCTGAGATGACTAGGAGTTCAGTGTATTTTTTTTTCTGAAAAAAAAGAAAATCACTACAGATTAAGTTTTGCAATTCCTACAGCCTACACTATTTTAAAAAATTTCCTTCAGAGAACAGAAAAAAAAAAAAAATTGAAGGGTTTGCTTGAACAGTTTTTAAGCAAACTTTTTTTTTTGGAGTTTGTTACTGAGTTGGACACAGTGCTCCAGGTGAGGTCCAACCAGAGCAGAGTAGAGCAGCAGAATTACCTCCCTCGACTTGCTGGCCACACTTCTCCTCATGTGGCCCAGGATGCATTTGGCCTCCTGGGGTAGGAGGGCACATTGCAGACTCATGTCCAGCTTCTCATCTACCAGCAGCCCCAAGTCCTTCCCTTCAGGGCTGCTCTCATCCCCAAGCCTGTATTGATACTGAGGATTGCCCCCACCCAGCTGCAGAACCTTGCACTTGGCCTTCTTGAACATCATGAGGCTCGCACAGGCCCACTTCTCAAGACTGGTGAGGTCCTTCTGGGTAATATCCCATCCCTATGGTACATCAGCCACACCACGCAGCTTGGTGTCATCTGCAAACTTGCTGAGGGTCTACTTGATCCTGCTACGTCATTGATGAGATATTAAACAGTACTGGTCTCTGTACAGACTCTCTGAGGGACACCACTTGTCACCAGTCTTCATGGGGACATCGAGCCATTGACCCATACAACCAATTCCTCATCCACAGAACAGACCACCCGTTAAAACCATATCTCTCCAGTTGAGAGAGAAGGATGTTGTGGGCAACCGTGTCAAAGGTCCTACAGAAGTCCAGATAGGTGACATCTGTAGCTCTTCCCTTGTCCACTGATGTAGTCACTCCATCCTAGAAGGCCACAAGGTTGGTCAGGCAGGACTTGCCCTTGGTGAAGTCATGCTGCCTGTCTCAAATCGCCTTCCTATCCTCCACGTGCCCTGTGGCACAGCATCTAGGAGGATCTATTCCATGAGCCTCCCAGGCACAGAGATGAGGCTGACAGGTCAGTGGTTCCCAAGGTCCTCCTTTCTACCCTTTTTAAAAATGGGAGCAAATTTTCCCTTCTTCCAGTCACCAGGGACTTCATCTGACTTCCAAGGGAATAGTAGAAAAAACAACTCTGAAAAGTGATCTGAACTAAATACATGAAAGGACTGGACAATGTCAGGGCTGAATCTGGTAGGTTTGAGTATCTTTGTTTCCACATAGGTACTCACTGCATCTTGTTCTCAGCTGCTGAGCATACAAGCATCCGTTAGGTCAGTGTTTGCCAGTGAAACTCACTATACCTGCAGTGTTTACTCCCTGTAGCAGTATTAACATAGTGTCAGTCAGCCAAAACAACTGTATATAGCAGGGACAATTTACACTGTACAATGCACCAGTGTGCATACCTCCCCAGCAGGTTATGCAACGTGAATACTTTGTGTGGTCTACTGGCAACATACAAGCTAAACTGAAACAAGGGAAATGAATAGCTATTTTTAAATCCTGACTGTGGAAAAGATAAGAGGTGCTGTCTTTGAATGAATCTGGCACTCTAAACCATTTAATAGCAACCACTTCTTGACCTCCTGTTAAATTACGTGCATTTTGAAAGACTGCAGAAACTCAGAGGTTTCAGCCTTATTCTTCAAATAAAGAGCTGCTTCTGAGAATAAACTGTACGCATAAAATTCAGATGAAATGAGTTTGCCCCTAAATGTACGATTATTTATATCACCTTGAACTTGGCAAGTGGATGATGAATCAACTGAATAATTCCCAGAGGTAAAGTTCACAAAGCACTTCATTCTGGTGCTGTTATTGATGACATCCAGAAGTACACTTGCAATCATACATCCATAAACTGTATGACACAGTAAGCCTCACAGCAAAACCTTGTTGCAAGGAGATGGTTGTCAAACTAAAAATGGTGTAAATTATTTAGTAGGTAATTTACTATGAATCCACATACGATCAAAATTAAAACAAGTTAAATAGAAAATATTTTGATAGGTGTAACTCAAGAGAAATTAATGACAAAGTGTTTGTAAAGAATAGCCTGTCTCTGAAAACTAATGACATGTAATCAATACCACAACGTTCTATGCTATGCTCTCTCACTGTTTTCAAATCAAACTTGACTCACGAGTAGAAAGATGTTTTCTCTTTAAGGCCCACAAACTCATCAAGCATAATCTTCTTTTTTAATATTTGTTTATGCATCAAGAATAGTAAGCAGGAGTCTATAATATGATCACTAATAAAAATTCCCATTTTCCCAACGCTGTCTCAGCTACAAATACAAATGTATACATCTCTCTTCCCTTAGCAATATTTGGGAATGTATTTCATATACATGGGGAAGAATAATTTCTTTTAATATGAAATAACTACAAAATTATTTTATATTTAAATGATAAAATCAGTACTTGAGGTAGGGTAACATTCTTAATGTATTACAGTAAAGCCTGCTCTGATTTTGCACATTTCATAGGATCCTGCCTCTTTGAGTTATTAACAAACTTCTGAATGGAATGCTCAGGAATTACTGTCTGTTTTATCTCCATCATGTCACTCACCTTTTCGTGAGCAAGAGGTTTTATGTCAGAATTTTCTGATGCAATTTGACTGGAATCAGATATAGTCTTCTATACTACAATATATATGGAAAAATAAGTATCAAAAGATTTAATTTACCTAGAAAATTTCTCTAATCACAGGAAACATATACAGATAAAATGAAGGGCCTTTTCAGTTGAGTCATCCATTTAGAAGCAGAAGACTAACAGAGTATGCTTCTGAGCTGTGTTCGTTTCAGTTGCAATGCCCAGGATAGAGCTAAGAGAGTCAAAGATTACCATATCAGGGAAAAAAAAAAAAATAAAATTATCAACCAGATGTCTTTAACAGTATGACACAAAGAATTTTAGTCAATAGGGTCTGCCTCTAGTATAATAATTGGACTTAGAGGTATGAAGATTCAAATGAACTTCAAAGCACAGCAGAGAATTATTTTCTTACTGTGAAAATATTTAACTGCCTGTGTTATCTGTACAGCTAATGGACCATTTTCAAAGCAAAATTAAAATGTAAAATATATGTGTAGTATGCGCTATTATTTTACTAGGTAATTTCCTGGATAACACACGTGGCGTACTTTTATTTCAG